TATAGATAAACTTATTTCTGTGAATTAGAAGCAAAATTGGCCTTTTCAGTCAAAGCACCAGAGCCACAGTACCGTCAGACGAAGCTGCTTGAGTACTCTAACTTGCCACCACCTATCAAGAAAGCAGACCCACAGCAGTTACTTCCTCAGCATGTGCTTGATGCTCTCTATAGTGCAGACAAAGATTACAATGCCAGGAATTATGGTGGGAAGATCTCCTCAGGTAAGTCATCGGATTGAAAAGGAATAGGCATTGTTGATGAAAGTGATTGATAATGGCGGAAATTTGCTTTATATATAATGTATGGTTGTCAACTAGAACTTGCTTCCCAATAGCCCGTGAGCGTGAGATGGTGCGGCTCACAAGTGATGCAATTGAAGATCTCCACAAGGCCATGAAATCTGCCCCTGATGTAGATACTGTTGAGGAAGAACAACCACGTAGCCTTAAAGCTACGTTAATGCCCCATCAGCTCCGTGCCCTTGCTTGGCTGCTCTGGAGGGAGAGGCAGCTCCCACCTGGTGGTATCCTTGGTGAGTTAGGGTTCTTGGAGATATGCTCACTCTTTTTAAGAGTTGGGGGAAAATGTCTAAGTATTGTTGTGAATTAGACTGCTTAAATATCCACATTTTTATACATTCTTTGTAAAAGGAGAAAACATTTGAGATATTAGCCTAAATTTCTAGGTCTGCCTGTGTTCACCTGTATATGAACATGTACTTGGAAAGTAAAATAACACGTGCATCTTTTTTTCAGCTGATGACATGGGTCTGGGTAAAACCCTGACAATGATCTCGCTTGTGCTCCGCCACCGAGAATTGATTAGGGAAGGGGTGATTGCTGAAGACTTCTCATCTCTCCAAGAGTCTGATCATGAAGGTGGTGAAAGCCAAGAGGAGGAGGGATGGATAAGGAAAGGAAAGGCAAAACAGACTTCCCTTGTTCCTTCTCATGGAACATTGGTGGTATGTCCTGCATCCTTACTTGGCCAATGGAAAGGGGAAACACAGAAGCATGTGGCCAAGGGCAAAGTGAAGTGCCTTGTTTATCATGGCACCAGTAGAGATTTAGACATTCATGCGTAAGCATATCTTTTTCTCTTTTTACTCTGTTGTGGCGTTTTCAAATTGTCTTCATATTTATTAATGTAATGCTTTAGTGCTGTTCTGTTTACAGTGGAATTTATTACACATTCTTGTTACTTTCTTGTTTTCAGCTTGGCACACTATGACATTGTAGTTACAACATACCAACTGGTTATGAAAGAAGCTTTTCCAGGTGGAAAAGAAAAAATTGATAAGAGCAACAAAGATGATGTGCCAAAGGTTAGTATTTATTATAAGTATAAATTTAAATGTACACATGCACTCACTCTCTCAATCTTTAGATGTGATTTAAGATTTAGATTTTATAATCTTTATATGAAAGTTTATCTAGTAATCACAAAATTAAAGAGTTGATATATATATGTAATTGTATATTACTACATTAAATAACTATATTTGCTTCAGAAGAAATAAACATTAATCAAATATTTTAATTGCAGATAAAGGCTAAAGATCAGGGCCGTCTCTTTAGGATTGGCTGGTCTCGGATTATCCTTGATGAAGGGCATCAAATCCGAAATCACAAGAGTCAAACGGCTAAAGCTGTCTGCTTGCTCCGTGGAGGCAGACGATGGGTACTTACAGGAACCCCTGTGCAAAATAAGGAGATGGATCTGTATTCCCTCTTGCGGTTCCTGAGAGTTTCTCCCTTTGATGATTATACAGTAAGGAATTATTATGTTTATTTCTGTTTGTGTATTTGAAGTTTCATAAAGTTAGTGACATGATAAAAGGTGTGTACTTCTCCCATTTGAATGCTTCTCTTTAACCAGTGATTATAATAAGTGAATTTCTTTTATAGTGTTGGAAGCTACAGGTATCAAACAACAGTGCTCAGGGAATGCGTCGATTAGGCCTTCTAACCAAGGTCATCATGCTAAGGAGAACAAAGGATCAGGTATTTTATAAATACTTCATGCTTGATGTAATATCTTCCATATAGAACTTGAATGACCATGCTTCATTAGATATATGACTTTTTGTATTACTGTGTTGTCCCATCTATGTTGTTGTTCTTCTTTCCTTCTTCCTTTCTTCTTCTTTTTTTTCCCCTTCTTCTTCCTTCCTTCCCTCCCTCGCTCCCCTCCTTCCTTCCTTCCATCCTTCCTTTTTATTGAATATTCTCTTAGTTTTTGTATGAAAGATTGTTTTATTCAATGGTCCTTTTCAGGTTGACCAGAATACTGGCAAAAAATTGGTGGAGTTGCCAGAAAAGAAAATTGTACAACATGCACTGTCTCTTTCCCAACGTGAGCGGGAGGTCTATGACAGGGTTTTCACTTTCTCAAGGTGGGTAGAGTTAAGGAATGAAAGTATTCTTATGGTAAATTATGCAACTTGTAATCTGTCTAATGGGCTAATTGTTAATATTGTTTAAATTGATTTTTTGTTA